GATGTTCTACATTTTCATCTTGGTATTACATACATGATGTGTAAGTAAAAATTTATTCATCTATTATTAAGATTTCTGTATTTACAATATAATATATTGTAAACAACAATAACAAAAGTTAAATTTTTTTAGTCTCATATTACAAATTTTCACCCATACATTATACCAAAACTCAAAATTGTCGGTCTTATCCTAGACCAAATTTCAAGATATCACTCCAGTGTATGGTAGCTCCCAGGCTGTACAGGTACAGTAGCTTGTGATTAAGGAAAGCCAACTTCGATAGTGAAATAAAAATCCAGACCAGATCACTCACTGTGGCCAGGTTCTTATTAAATCCAGATGATGGTTTATTACTATGTACATAATTTTACTTAATGTTTGGCCCTTGCTCATTCTCGGCCTCTTTTCCCTTCATCATTAGAACTAAGGTGTCCTCAGTTACTTCTGCTAGATTATTGCTCTATCCAACTCCAGCCCCAAGTTCACCAATGAAACCTACAGCTCTACCTATGAATTATGCAGTGGATTTTGCATACTGTTTTTCTTTCTTTCTCCATCTATAGTACTAATGTTGTATTCTCTTCTCTTAACATTGTTTAACCATCTGTTAACCCAGCTTTCTCCCCAAGGGGGTCAGTGCGGAGAAATGATTTGAAGGTTCTGCTGAAGTGCTTTACAGCGGGGATAGTCCATTAGCTGTTGATTTTGTTTGTATTCAGCATTCTGCTTCTATCTGTGGTTTTAATTGATGTGAGCATGCCCTGGGGCTTGAGCTGGACTCAGCTGTATAAATCAAACAAACAAACAAACAAACAAACAATGAAGTAAATCTGCCCTGGAATAAATAGATAACTGCTTTCTTAATCTTTTTTTCCAACAGTCCTTGTAAATGTTTCCTGAGGCTTATATGTGAGGAAAGTATCTAAAGTGTAAAGAAATAAATAAGTATCCATTGCTAAAGATGCAATACATAACTATTTACACCCTTTCCTCATAGCCTGGAAACTATGGGGAGATTTGTAACATTTCCATTCACCTCATTCTACTCATCTCTTTAGTTCCGAATGCTCTGGAGTTGCCATTGCCTCTGATAGTTTTTTTCAAAGGCAAAGCAAAAGCAAAACAAAATGAACAGGCAAAAAGTGAAAGGAAACAAAATCTCACTAAAGTAGTACCATCCAGAGGGCAATGGAGAAGTCTTAAGAACTGATTTCCTTTCCTAACAGGGGAATGGTTGAGATCCGCTGCAGTTCAAATGCAGGCTACTGAGTAGGTATAGAGCCTGCTGGGGCAGAGAGCATAGTGTGAGCAAATACGATGATGTTCACATCTGAACAGAGGCTTCATGCGGGCTTTGAGCTCCTGCCCTTGTGTGTGAACAATACACCCTGCTAGTTGCTGCTCCTTGACCTTGTGTTCCAGAATGAAAAGCAAAGTGAGGCTGACTAGACCCTGACCTGGCATCCAACCACAACTGGCCATGAGTGAAAAATAAAAGATTTGTTATTGTAAGGCACTGAGATTTGGGGTTGTATTTTACTGTGGGAAAAGCCATTTAATATAGGGACCCTGGCTTCCTCCAGTTCCCAGAGATGGAATCATAGAACCTAAGAATTAAGAAAGAGTCTTGCTGATGGCATCTGATTTCTTTTATCTCTACCATCCCACCCTGGAGCAGGCCATATTCTGTTTGCAATACTGGGAGACAAGCTACATATCAGAGGAAGGTTCTGAGTGCTAGCATTGTTTCCCTTTATGTTGACTACCATATGCTGGGGAGGCAGTTTGGTACAGTCAGACAGACATTGAGTTTGAGCAGTGGTTCTGCCACTTACTAGCTATGTGGCCTTGAGGCTTGAACCTCAACTTCTTTATGCGATTGAATAGAAATAGTACTGTATACTGTGTAGGATTAAATGAGATGGTATACGTGCCTGACATAGTAAGGTCTCAAGAAGGGTTATTACTCTTCTTCTGTTGGACCTCCAAATCTAAAATGCATCTTCCATAGAGTAAACATTCAAATACTTGGACACTTATTCAGCCAGTGTTCTGTCGTAGGGTAAGTGGAAGTAGGCTGGCTTCCTCACCCAGGTGTCTGGGTAACTAAGGGAAGCAGTGTTCCCACAGCCTTGGAGGGGCCTGATAAGCAGTGTTCACAAAGTTTTGAGACTGGGTCTAATAAACTATTCCCATAACATGAAGTGGACTTGCATGTGCAGAATTATGCTATGTTATATAGTTTTCTTTTTGTTGGCCTTGTTTGTTCTAGCATTTAAGAAGGGCCAGGGGCTCCCTACTAGGTGCCATGACATGTGCCATGCTGGGGAGCAAGGGTCACGACATGTGTCATGGAGAGGCATGCAGGGAGATAGGCAGCTTGCAGCATGTGTGGTGCCTTGAATAAAGGCACATCAGACACCCCCATGGCTCCATGAGTATTCTTCTGTCTGCCCGAATACCGTGAACCTGTCAGGCCCTGAATGGTCACAACACGTCTATCTGTACAATTGGTTCTTTGAGCCTTAGTTTAATTCATTTTAACCAGATTAAATCTGTGCTGGCTAGAGGTATCTTACTGAACCAGCCAGTGGCTAATTTTCCAGATCTTAATTCTGTTGCCTAACGCCTGCACTATAATTCTCAGCTTTGCATCAACCACAAATCTGATCAGTATGTTGTCCATTTCCTCATCCTAATTGTTAATAAATATACTGCAGGTGTTTCATTAGCCAGGCTCTTGGAGTCCTTTGGAATTGTACACTCACGTGTATTCACGCAACACTCAGATGTTCAAAGAAAATGTAGGTTATTTCTAATAACTGATCTAATCTTCCTCATGAGCATCCCACCCCAGTGTGTGGCAGGTAAAAATAGCTTTATTTTAAACTTTCCAGTCCAAAATGTCTCAGTTTTTGTGAATCTAAATAGTTTTGTTTTGAACTCAGTCTAGAGGGGGGTAAATGTTCAATTTTTCAGAATTGCTTTCCTCCCAGGCTCTTCATCCCGATGGCACTTGGGTAGCTTAAATGACCTTGTGGACTTGGGTTGCTGGAGGGTGGGGGATTGGGTGGGGGTGTGAATGCTGTTAACCTTATGCTGGTCCTTGGGTTGGTCCCCACTGTGGTAGGGAGGTAGGTGCTCAGTTCAAAGTGTGCCTGGTGGCTCTCTGCTGAAGTGTAGCAGTGCCAGCCTCATACATACTCTGCTATGGTCCATACTGATGTTGATGGCTGATGCAACTCTATCTGTTTTCTGGCATAGTTAAATCTCCCAGAGAGCTCAGCCACTTCCATTGCTGACTTGGGCCCACTTTGTTCCACTACGGTTCCGTGGACATTCTAAAATTTAGCTCTGATTTCCACTGGGTCTCAGGTTCGGAAGCCCAGTTTATACCTTTGACCATGGGGTCACTATATACCTGTGGCTCAATCCCCCACCCAGATTTTCTAAGTTCTAGGTGCCCTTCTGGGGAAACTGAAGACTTCTGATTAGGAGCATGGATTCTGGAGCCAGCCTTCTTAAGTCTGAAGTCCAATGCTACCACTTACCAGCTGAGCGACTTCAGACAAGCTGCTTAAGATAAATGAGTCTCCATTTGCTGATCTATAAAATGGAGTTAAAAATAATGCCTGTCTTCTGGGTAGGATCCTTGGTCAAGTTACATGAGTTAATGCACATAAAGTGCTTATAATTGTGCTTGGTAACCACAGGGTTGATGGTTGGTATTAACTAGTAGAAAAGTAGAAAACAGGATGTGGCAAGTTATTTAATCTCTCTATGCTTGTGTTTCCTATATGTGAAAAAAAGATCATAATCATAACACACAACCTGGCCAGGTGCTCAGTTGGTTGGAGCATCGTCCTGCATACCAAAAGGTTATAGGTTAGGTCCCTGGTCAGGGTGCATATGGGAGGCAACTGATTGATGTTTCTCTTTCACATTGATATCTCTCTTTCAAATCAATAAACATGTCTTTGGATGAGGATTTAAAAATCTCCTTTATAGGTTTATTGTAAAAATTAAAGGATTAATATGCAGAGGACTTAGAATATAGTTTGGCACAAAATAAATCCTTACCATCATTATTTTATTGTTGTCCCCAGACCACAGGAGAGCTCAGGAGTGTCAACCCAGATTCATTCTCTGTCTACCATGCTGCTGCTGGCCTAGTGGACAGCTGGGACAGTAAGGACTAAAGTCCCTACTCTGCCTGAATTTAGCTTCCCCCTCAATCTAGTGTCATGTCATGCCCTTCACAGATGTCAGCCAGTAGCCATGCCTTTCATGGCTAGCTTCCACTTCCTGTCTCCCATTTCCTTTCAATCCCGACCAATGGGATAAGCTCTCCTGTTCACTTTCTTCCTGGAAGTTACTTTCCTTAAGTAAAACTGTTATCAAGTTGCTCATGTCTGACTGTTTGTTTGTTAATGGAAACTTAAATTAGGATTCTTTTTTCTCTCCATATCAATTTGATGTTCAATTCTACTTCCAGTCTGTTGACTCAAAACAGAAATCAACTTTGAAATGGTGATTCTCAAATGGGTAAATATCATTAATTTAATGAGGGAGATTCACAACATAATGGAATATATGGGAGATGAAGATATATATATTGAAGTATTTTTTTTTAGAATATCCTACTACAGTTGAGAATGATGCCATTTAAGAATTTCTCTTATACCTTCTTTGTAACCGCTGTATCATCACTTGGGAAATATGCCATAGAGTGGCTGAACAAGGATAGGAATGAGTTTTATAATCACAGAACATCTGGGAATCAGGATTTATTTCCTGCTTCTGCAATAAAAATTGGAAAATAATATTAAATCAATAGCTCTTCAGTGTCATGCACTATACTTGGGGTTCAAATGTATTCATTCACTAATTGAGCCTCTTATGTATCCCATGTGGTTTATAAGGCACCAGGGATGTAGTGGTGAAAGAGACATTTTCAAAGAACTAACAATAGTTCTATGTGGTAGTATTATTATCTTTATTTATAGAATGGAGGAATGAAAACGTTGAGAAGTTTAGCACCTCAGTTGATTTCATGGAGCCAGTAGGTAGTAGGTTTGGACCTCTCTCCATGGGCTCTGCCCTTTTCACATGGTGTCATCATGGGCTTGGCTCTTGCAGCAGGCTCACAGAGATTCCAGGGATGTGGATTCTGGAAACTATGAAAGGAAAAACAAAAAGAATACTCTGAAATTTAATGCACAGTAATGCTTGTATGTTGATATATGCATCTTTTTTTCTGGAGAGGATCTGTCGCTTTCATCAGATTCTCATAGAAGCCCTGTCAGTAAAGAGCTGATTTTTCCTTGAGTGTTAGCAGATAACTTCATTTTTGGCATTACCATTGCTCTAAATATGTATTATCTAGGTCCATTGGAGGGTACAGTTCTAAGCAGATGAGGTTGTTCAGCAGTAATGGAGAAACCCAAAAGATGGGGAGGAAGTGGCTCTAGAAATTAATGCTCAAATAAAGTACTGGGTCATGTGTATAGACCAACTCTAACCACTAAAAGGGTAGGATCATCATCTGTCTTCCACATGCTGCCTGCTTGAATGCCACTGTCAGTGCTTACTGTAGCCTTGTCTCCCTACATAAAAAAGGGTGTGTGTGTGTGTATGTGTGTGTGTGTGTGTGTGTTGATTTGCAACAATGGTGAAAAGAAAAATAATATGATTAGTTTCACATCCTGTTTGGGCTGGTCTGGACTATGTCCTAGCAACTTTATGATATGTGTGAATGAGACTCTTCGGGAAAAAAGAAAGAGGCTCTGTCTGGGGCAAAAGACCAGGTCCCATTGGCTGCCAATCCTCCTTATGTTGCCAAGAGCTGCCTACTCAACATCTGAAAGTGACTGACCACACTTTCTTAAATAGTATTCTGCCTGTGGACTGGGCATCGGGGCAGATCAAGGACATGAAACGAGCAATAGTTTCTGCTCTGAAGTGCAGAGGGCATGTTTGTAAACTTCCAGATAGAAAGAGAAAGCCAGAACTGATTGTTTATCCTGAAGTCTCCTGGAGGGTACCTCCAAGTGACCTGGTTATTATTATTGTTATTCTTTATATCTTCTTATTCCTTCCTTCCCTAGCATAAGGCTAAATATTTATGGATAATTGCCATATATCACCAACTGACTAGTGACATTATCTATCACATTCTTTAGTTTAAAATATCATATCACTTGAGTGCTTAATATACTATTTGGATGGGTAACTTTTAAAAACAATATTATTATAGTTGTTTACTTCTCTAAGTATCTCTAAATATAGAGAATAGCAACAACAAAACCTTCAGCTCTTTTATTCTTGGAAATATGATTTAACCAAGCCAATGTTTATTGTAGCATAAGATCTAAAACAATTAGAGATGTCACATATATTTGCATTTTTGATGACATTTGCAATGTAAATGACAAAATAATGGGAGACTTTGGGAGAGACATTTGTTCCTCTCTATGCCCCGTATACTTCTTCCCACAGAGGACACCAATTTATGGAAAGCAGCTCCAAAAACAGAACAGATAATAGAGGTGAGAATGTTATTTTAATTCTGGATTGATGCATTTCTCTTTTACTGGATGAGGTAGGAAAGCATAGGACATATGTCTCCAAAATGACAGGTGTTAAAAGACATCACCGTGTGTGTGCAGTTGTCTGGGCATGTCGATAGTGGAGGGGCATGTCTTCGGAGATGTGTTCATGTCTTGGGGCACCTGTGGCTGTTTTGAGTGTGTCTTTGCATGCATGTCTGTGGCTGTCCAGGTGATAGGTGGTTAGCTGTTGGTGAGGTCTAGAATAATTTTTTTTCTAGAATATCTATGTGTATCTATGGTGGTGGCAGTTTATATATAAGCATTTGTTTTCCATAGGTCAATGAGTGGCTGCTAACCAGGAACAAAGACTTAAAATTATAGTCTCTAATAACTAGAGAGGGCTTTACAGCTCATTGAATGTGATCTCCTAAAATAGAAATCCTTTGTTTGTTGGGAGCTATAATAAATAACCAAAAGTTGAGTACTAGCCAGTGAATGGATGTTCGATAAGCACCCACTATTTATCAGACACAATTCTTGACAAGAGACATATGTGGTGAGGAATGAAGTAGTCCCAGTCCTCAGCAAGGTTTATGGTATAGGGGAAGGACACAGTTATTCAACATCAACAACAAAAAGCAATAATTTAATTATGAGTATAAAGTGCTATGGAGGAAAAAAAACACTACAGTATTCAAAGGAAGCATATAACCCAACTTGAACAGTGGGATTAGGAAACGCTTGCAAGAAAAAGTGACATTTAAACTGAGAAATCCCCAGTCACCTTGTATGATAGTGGTGATTCATACCACTCTGCCCCCACCCTGTATAAGAGCAGGAATTAATGCCCCCCACACCACCCCTGCCTCCCATCTGTGCTACGGTAGCCCTGTTCCACTCAAAGTCCTTAGAAATTTTCTGCCCTACAGGCCCTCATAGCCCACTTATTTTGGTAATCTAATTGAAGAGCTTATGTGTCTTAGGGTTGGCCAACTGCCAAAGCAAACAACAAGCTAAAATTTCACAATAAAGGGTGATTTCTTGTTTATGCAACAATCAAAACTTGGTGCTCTTGGTTTGGTGCTCTCTGGATTCATTTCATTTCTGCATTGACCAGGACCCAGGCTCTTTCCATAAGGAGCCTCTGTTTTACACCTAGGAGGACGATAAGGAAAGTGAATGGCGCATGCCGCATGGAGGTTTTATGGGCTGGACCTTCCAGTGAAATACATTGTGCTGCTCCTGTCTCTGTAGCTATATTTTAGTCACATGGTCTATGCAACTTCAGGGAATACTGGGACTATCATCCCGCTGCCTACTCAGGAGGAGCAAGTTTTGGTGATTGCTTGAGTCAGTCTTCACCAGTCTATGGCTGTCTCTTGACAATGCCCGAGGGAGATTGTAGCCATGACTGTGGTCTGAAATGGAGAGCCAAGTGCTCACTTTTTAGCTGGGAATTACAGATGGATAAAATGACTTTGCTGCACTAAGACCTGAACTAATTGCTATAATAGTACAGATGTTATCTCAGCTTTCAGAGGACTTTCATTCTGTCTTGCATCTTGTAGACAATAAAATCTTTGGAGAGGAAAGACACAATAATTTGTATTTCAAAAATGTGACACATCTGTGAATCTGGTGGGAAAAAATTCACTGTGTATAAAGATCCTATACCAATATTTTACTAGTTATGCTATAAATCCTGTTACAAAACCACATCATACCCATCCTCTTCTCTCTTTGTCAGTATTATTGGCATACACACTAACAATTCCTGTATGCTTCTGGTTTAAAAGCATTTCAAAGGGATATTGAAATGTTGATAAAGAGCCATGACCCTCAGAAGAAAGATGCCTTATTCCAGTAAGCAACAGAATTTCCATGCACTCAACTATTAGGTGGCATAGTATTTGTAGCTTGCTTTCTAAACGGATAATAATACCACTATTAAAAGAGAAAACAAGTTCCTTCCAGTCTACCTGATAAACTGCATTCACTCTGCTCATCAAATCAGCTCATCGTCTCTTTGTCAAACTTTCTCAGACTCACTTTAGTCAGGTTGGGCATTCCTTCCTTAGTGCCCACCTTGTTCCTGGAACCCATTGAATTCTAGCCATGTATTTTTATGTCTGTTTTCACAATAAGCATGTGAACTTGGCAACAACAAAAGTATTCTTATTCTACCTTAAAGATTTCAAGTTCCCATTTTGAGGAACTTTTCCCCTTTCAAATGTCTGGTGTAGTAGGAGCTCAGGAAATATTTAATGAATAAATGAGTGGGCTGTTGAATGAAATAGAATGGTTTACAGGCAGCTTTAATTGCAGAAAATAAACATGCCTCAGATGTTCAGCCCTGTGTCTACATTTTCCTGACTCCTTCCTTTGGGTACCAGGCCTGTGAAAAGAGGATCTGCGGTTTCTGAGCCAGCAGCTAGGCTAGCATCCAGGCCAGCATCCCTGGCCTGCCTCACCTGTGCAAAGAATCACACTCACAGCGGCTCCACATGCATTTACACTGCCCTGTCTGGCAAACCGTAGTTCACAAAGTAGGACACAACAGAAAAAAAGAAAGGAAGGGAGTGTGGCCTCTTTTCTGGAAACTTTTCCTTTAAGATGGTGTGTGAGGTCTTGCCAGATTTGGATGACCTCTACTGTAAAAATAGTGACTCCAGCATGACGTTGTGATGAGAATGAATCCACGTAAAATGTTCAGCATAAAACTTGGCATGAAGTAGGCATTTGTTCAATGCTGGTCATGCTTCCTCTGAGGTGGTCACCACTACTTGTTTTATTATTTTAACACAGGCTTAACCAGAATCCCTATCTAATCTGCACACTCTGATTCCAGAGAGTGGGGGGAACAAAGTCGGGTTCCTCCCCTGTGGTAAATCACATTTCGTGAGGATTAGTTGTCGATCACCATGGTGCTCATTATCGACTGCAGTAAAATACTCTCAGTAACAGGCTGAAAAATCTCGCTTCCTGACAGCCATTTGATGGGTGTCCGAATTTAACACTCTTAGACGATAAGTTGGGTGTTCAAACTCCACCCAATCATTGTATCTGGGTAGCCTGTGATTGTGCTGAAATACGGAAATTCTAGCTTGACTTGAAGTTAATAAAACCGTGTGACACCGAAAGCTCTATGATGGATGGCAACCAATAGTCCGATACTGTTTTATTCTCTCTAATATACTGTTTCTCTGCAAAGGCCAAGAAATTAAAGAACGGTTTTATTCTTCCCTTCCAGCCTGTGCAGGGTAATTATGTATTATTAATAATGCAGCAGCACAAATGATATTAAATGAACTACATTTGTTAATGCAGATCTTATCTAACTGCTTTTTCCATCAGTGAACTGTTTCTCATCAGGGGGTACTAATTAGCTGTAATATGTAGAAAGATGGGACAGAAATCCAATCAGATAAATGGGATCTATTTGGAGAGATCCAGGAAGGAAAAAGAAAGGCATTCATGATTCTGCAAGAATTACTACAAGTAGAAAAGATGAAAATTTCTGCTGCTTCAACTTCATTTACATTTTGTGGCCACAGAAGTGAAAATGCAGTGCCACTGGATTGCCCAAGCTGCAAAGACCTGCAAATAATTTTATTTATCAGGGCTGT